ACCGTTCAAAGTTTGCCATTCCCTTTCTGCAAGGCTGGCTAATTCACGTCATCGGCATCGATCCAACTGCACGAAAACCTTTCTTCCATCGGCAGCAAGAAACATGGCACATCGTCAAAGAATAATTACAGAATTGGAGGAGCAGTGTCACGCTCGCGAATGTCCCTTCATCTTGACGATCCTTTATCATTTTTTAGCATCCGTTGTCCTCGTCTACCTTTGCTTTGCTCGATAGCGTTTCCGGAGTCACATAAACAAATTATATACGACGACGACGAGCATTTTCGCTAAACAGCTTTTCACGAAATGCCACCAGTGCGGTGGTATTGGTCAGGTTTGCGAAAAACTCACCGATAAACAATCCGAGCGGAAAGGTAAAGTGGAACGTAGAGTCAACGAGCTCGTCTCTCGTCGGCACTCTTAACGCAACATCACTGCTGACCTTGCGACCAGAAAAACAATTCGTGATCTCTGCCGATCTTGGCCTGCCACCAGATTCGCGATATTAATTTCCGAAAATACGCGGATAAACCGCGTTCATTATCCATCGCATAGTTGTAGCAATATTCTCCGGCTTAATGGGCGCAACAAAAAAATACATACTTGCGTCAAGGTTCGAACAAACTTTCGAAAAATGTATCGTATTCGCATAAATACGGAAGGGAGAGAAATGAAGGAATCAATCGATGTCGCATCGAATTAAAATCACGATAATGAAATTATCTACGAATCGATATACTGCACACTTTCCGGAAACGTTTAAATATTTTTGACAAAAATCCTATCAACGGTAACGCAAACATTGCTCATAGCTTGCTTCTTCGAAATGGTGCAAGCAATCATTCGTGAAACGCTCCCGAAACAAAGCAAACGCCTCGGGTGAATTAGAAAGTTTCAAAGCCGATCGAGCAACAAATTTGTTTCGCGTGTCAATTTCCTGTTATTTAAATTTGTACGTAAAATGTGAAGGGATTACCATGGTGGTCGCGAACGATTAGTTTGCGTTTTAAAAGCTATTATCGTGACTAATTAGTTTTAAATAGCTGGGATTTCACACAATCGGCTGAACAAGGTACAGATTCGAGCGTTTGTTCGATAACCTCGTCCCTTTTCGAAATCGTTTCATATTTTTCGTTCGAATGCCGTTCATCGGTTATTTATTAGACAAGTATAAATATTAATAATCGGTAGAAACGACCATGTCTGTTTTGGATTTTGGAGCAGAGAAAGTATGACAACCTTGGCCAATTCAAATAAATGACAAAAAATGAACGTAGCGATGGCGATGGGGATAACGAAGATATAGCTAATTTTGAAATTGATAACAAGTGGGCTCGAATAACTCCCGTCTCCGTTTCGAATGAATTTCATTCAGAGTCGGAACCAACTGACCGCGCATCGTAAGGATGGGATTAATCGATCCTTATCCTTGGCAGTCAAAGAGGAACAGTACCAGCATTGTCTCCGTTCTGCCTGGCAACCGCGAGATATCGATACGTAATTACTGTATCGAGCATCAGACGCGATTATTTATAAATCTGATCGGTCGCCGTTATTCTCGTCTAACAACGGTTACCATTTTCCGACCGACTAATTGTTCTTTAACGAGGACGAAAATTCGAACGGGCAGGAATCCCGAATCCCGTCCGACGACGATCGTCGTGTCGTTTCGGTTCGATCACTTTCGATCCGATTTAAATTCTCGCAAACGTTGAATAGCACGAAACACGCGACATGCGGACTCTTGACAACAGAGTAAACATCGGAATTGGTTGTCTCGCGAACGGTGTTAGGCAGCGCGGCGGGCTGGCTAACAGTCAAATCGTGAAATTTCCGTACCGCCAACGGTTTAATACTCGTACACGTACATCATGGGGTCATATTAACCCAGATCGCGACACGTGACCAAGTAATGCGATCGACCTTTTTGCAACGTAAATCGACACGCAGCTTTAGAGGAGCGTGTCGCTGCCGCGCGCCCCGCCGTAAAGGACAGAGGACGAGTCACTCGCTCGGTTTTTTGAAAAGATGTTGAATAATATACTGGGTGGACCGCGGAACTAGGTCGGGCTTTGTCGTCATAACGGCCCCAAATTGGAAGAAATATTAAAAGAAGGGAAAACTGTTGCGCAAAAATTCTCAGCTCTGACTGATTAAATTTTCTTCCGTATCGGAAATAAATACATTTTCATGCATTTCTGGAATGCATCAACGTAAACATCGATCTGTGTATTTGGACGAAAAACTAACTCTACCATAGTTTCAACGATTCTGTTCGACGACGGAAAGATTATTGAAAAAATTCGTACGATTGGACGAAACTGCAGACCCGTTGGCTCGAAACGATCGCATAACGCATTCATGGATGGCACGGTACGGTACACTCGCTTAGAAAACTGGGTCAATATCCTAACGTCACCGTTGACACGTGTCGTTCGCACGAGCTCGTCGAATAAAAGCGAAATAAAATGAAAATTTCCAGCGTAAGCTGACACTTGGATCTGTCATTCGCGTTCTCGCTACGGGCTTTCATCAAAATTTTAAATTAGCCACGATCCATCCACTGTCGTCGAGATGCCTCTTCCGCTCCGCGATGACATTGCCTGCACGCGCGAAAATTGTGTCATCGACGGCGCGTTAATCGAACACTATCTTTAGAAAAACTGCGCATGCGATTTCGATCATTCATTTTCGATCCTCGGTGCTTTCTGCGTGTAAGAAGCCAGAGCATATCGAAGAGAGTTAGAGTTAGACTTTTGTAACGAGTTAATTTAGCGTCAACGCAAACACGCTGTGTGCAAAATAATTACGGGTCGATTGCCACTCGAATGAATTTTCTTTTCTAACGTATACGAGATGTAAACGATATTTCTCCCTTGAAAATGGGATCGAAAAAGTAGTTGTCGGTGGATTTTTCGCGTTAGCTAATCTAACAAGTTCCGCGATCAGTGGTTCGCGGCGTAAAAGTATAATATTATCGAAAGCATACGATATTATTAATCTGCAACGCCAGATTATAAAAGTTATACAAGAAACGATAATAATCGTTCCCAATATACCAATCATTTATGCGATAATGTAAATTGATTAGATAACAAAATACCATACTGGCGACGAAAGAAAATCAAAGTTAATCCTTTGGTAATTCGTTGAGTTTTAATCGTACGATACTGTTCGCGAAAGTAATCAAGTTTAACGCTGGTAGAAACATTACGTGCCATCTAAACAATAATTATGCTTGCGATTGGTTTCGATGCAGACGTTGCGCGCGTTGCACGAGAACCGAACGCCCGCCAAATATGCGATGCGCGTAAGACATCTCTTGTGCGTTCGGTATCGATATCAACATCAACCACGGCGATTGACACGGACTCGAACGAAGGTTCTTTATTTCGAGCATCCCTGTACACATGTGTTCGATAGTTGCGTTAAAAATTACCATTGTCGACTGTTGCTGTATCGGGTGCGACGACATTAAACAAATAAGCGTACATATTAATCGCCCGGTAATTTATATAAATTATAGCCCTGTTAGAAACGTTTATACGTATACGTTATTACATATTTTACCGTGTCTTTGGTTCGCGTACGTAAACACCATTTACACAATGCTTCACGAATAACGTGGGTTTTTATCAGAGATTACTAACAACTCTGACAAAACATCATATTTCATTCTAAAGGAAGTGTCAAAAATTTTAATGAACGACAAGAAACATCATTTTCATTTGGTTCGTAAACGATATTACGATTCCACATCTCGTGCAACTTTCTCTGTATATTTACATTAAAATATCGAAAAATAAGATAGATATTAAAACTAACCAAAGGTATATTTCGTTTCGAAGAGAAACGAATGTTATCGTCTCAAGTATAGTATACGTAGGAATTTTAGTAAAAATAGCTAAGCAAAAATTGACAAACATACAAATTCTGCGATATCGTATACAAGATTGAGAGAATTCGATAGACAAGTTTTTCATGTCAAACAATTATATGCTGTTCCTAATAGTAGTTGTTCATATTCAAACCAAGCACCCGTCTAACAAAGAACGGAAAGATATAAGAATCTTAAGGAAAAACTTTTATTTTTACACTATTCTTTCCATTTACTTTTGCCGATGCGTAGGCAAAGACTTTGGCCAGAGTTGACGCCGTACCAACAAGTTGTACCGTTATTAAGTTATATAGAAATATGTATTGAAATGTATAAACATGCGATCAACACAGACAACGTAACATGCCAAAACTGAACTAAGGTTAGGAGTGTCGAGCAAACCTCACTCTTTACTTTGTATATCTGTACGTGCCAAGTTACTCATGCAATATCGAAACATACTCTGTACAAACTTGTAACATTGAAACGTTTAAAATCGGATCTCTCTGTGTAGCGGTATCGGCGGAATACAATGTTTACCATAAAATCTTCACTGTCATATCGTTACACTCGACATGAAAAATTGAACACGTGAGGATTTCCATGAACAGCACGGCACGGCATTTTCACAACCGTCCGGTGCAACGTCGAATCGGAGAAACTCGAAGACGCGAGTACACCTACGATACCCGTACCGCGTAAACATCGAATTCGGCGGAACCCGCTAAAATAGAGAATCGCGAAGAGTACCCTAAACAGGAGCACCGAGTAAAAAGAATCCCCCCTACCCTCTTCCTCGGGCACCCGTTCCATCGCGTTTCCAAGAGTAACCCAGGCACTCGCACGCAGACGCACAGTTCTGCATTCGGAGACGGACAGGCGGGACAGGTTACGAGCGAGCTAGCGAGGCGGTAAGAGAAAGATCGCGGCAATCGCGGGGTGGTGGCGGTGACGGTGGCGGTGGTGGTGGCGCCGGCGGCGGTCAAAGAGGAAGGGGAATTGACGGAGAACGAAAAGACGCGGAGAGGGGTAAGAGAGGTAAGGGGATAACGGTGGAGGGGATAAAGCCAAGAGACCGAGTAAAAGCTATGCTAGAGGTTAAGGCACGTCCTACGGTACTCACTGCTGATCTTCATGCCACCCAGTGGCGTTGGATTCGCGGGCAGCTTGTTGCCTTCGGCGAAGGAGGTGGTCCTCGGTCGGCCGCTCATCCTGAAATCTTCTTGACCGGCTCCTCCACCTCGACCTCCACCTCCACCAGACACCGAGGTCTGGAGTATGCCGCTTCTGTTTCCGCTGGCCGCCGCCTCGGCTGGCCGTGCCACTTCTTCCTCCTCCTCTTCGCGATCGGCTCACGCGAAGATAGCCAGCAACGCGTCGTTGTTGTCGTCTTCGTCGTCGTCGTTACCACCTCGGACAATGGCAGGACGAACGATAATCACTTCGCACGCACGCATACGCGTCTGCACGGTGTCGGGTCTTCTATATTACGCCACGACTGTGCTCGATCGACGGATAAACGGAGAGAAAGAGAGTGAGACGAAACAACACCGGAGAAAGAGGTTGTCGGAGCGAGAGAGTAAGGAAAAAGAGTGGAAGGGCGGGATGGAGTAGAAGGGATAGAAGGGAGGAAAGAATACAACGAACGAGTAAAGCGCGCGCAAGATCGAGAAAGAGGACAGTACGGAAAACTGTGAACAAGGTTGATGGTTAGAGTGTAGAGTTGGTAAAGCAAAGTGCAAAGAAAAAGGAGGGAAAGCGGTAGACGTCCGAATTTTCTTTGCACTCCAAACACTTGCTTCGATTACGATCGGTCCCGCTGGCGATGGTAGCGACTCTCGCGATCAACGTTGGTCGTGACGGAACGCCGCGCACCGGGTTATGTACACTCCGTTTTCACCAAGCACCTTCACGCGACAGGCTTGCCGTCCGATCCGATCCGATCCGATTCGATTCGATTCGATTCGATTCGCACGATGTTCGTATTTTTTTCTTGTTTTACCGATGTCCACCGGCGGCTACGATACCGCGCCGGTGGCCTCCGACTACGCGGATCGACACAATTTACAATAATTTTTCGTATCGGTCGCAGCTGTCAGAGAATATCACAAGCCGAGAAACATGGAGAAACGCGGTTCTACTATACCTAATAACCTGAGTAGGGCGCGGAGTGTTGCGGAGAGCTATGCCGCGAGGGGAGGCGGGGGTCGACGTTTTCGGAATGGTTCGTACGCGCTCGCCAGTGGAGGCACACCGCCGCACTTGGTGGTAGCCTTCCTATATAGTGCAACTCCGCGACGATCCGGCCGACGGGTCAGATTTCTCTGTAGTTGTCGACCTATGTACCTCACCGTTGCTTCTATGGAAAGGACGACACGGTCAATTTTTATTTCTTTGACAACGCCTTTGACGGTTGTCGTTGTAACACCGTCGTTACTCTTGGCACACCGATCGCTCGCGCTCTCCAGTTTTCTTTCTTCGCTAGTCTTCACTTTTTCAACCTAACGGCGTAGTCGTCCACCTTCCTTATTCACTCTTCTTTTCTTTTCTTCCTTTCTCCTCCCGTTGTTCGTTTTTCTATCTTCTCACTCTTGCGCTCGTACTCGTACTTGCGAAGGGTGCGGGGGAAGCGCTACCGCCTCACCTCCGCCACAGCCGTTCTTTCTCAATCGCGTTATCTCTCTCTTTCTCTCTACACTTTGAATCTCGTCGTTAATCGTCACTCTCTCGCGCTTCACAACTTTTCAAGCTCGACGTTGTCGACTTGCCAGGCTTGTCCACATTTCGCCGCGATAGGCGTTACGCTGCACAGATAGACGAGCTAGGACCGTATCGACGTGGACATTTCCTTGGTCGTTCGTTTTGTCGATGTCGTCGTAGCCGCCGTTGTCTGTGTCGTCGTTGCGCGAGGGCAGGTCGTCGTCGCCGTCGCTGTTCACTTCTAGTTTCGACGATCGCGAAATCACTGCACGAGCCGACGACGCCTTGCGCGTAGCGCCGAAAAAGGGATAAATACGCGTGCTCGATTTTCACCCGACGAAATCAGTTCTCGACGATCAACGACGACTTCTCTTCGTCGTCGAGCACGGGAACACCACACCAGCTACGAATTTTTCGAAGCCTTCTCAGCTCAGACATTGACCCGTTCGGGCGAGATCGGGTCACTCGAGTGTTGGCGGACATTGCCGAAAGTGACGTCAGCAATACCCCGCCCTGCCCCTTGCCGTACTTGTTATCGTACGACACGCGAGATGGAGCCTCGACCGTCTAACACACCACCATCTCGTGACACCGTCCGATAACAAGCAAGTACAAGCGGCAAATTTAAAAGGAAATTTAGAATTAGTTACATTGGAAATTTACTCGTAACAACGATACCTACCAACAAAATATCATTCCGTACATATCAATTTAATGTACATTATTTTCTATATCGTCATTGTATATATGTGTATGGAGTGAAGTTTTTAGTGTCTATAATGTACACGGACCGTCCTGGCGCTATTACAATTTTAATTGATTAACTTGTAGTATGTGTCCTACCTTACACGTTGAGTCTCCCAATCTTACCGCGAATTAACATCTCTATCTCCCATTGCATCGCTCGGTCAACAATTTCTTGACAAACAGCAATCACACGCGTACTAATGGACGCCACCCACGCTTCTTAAGGGTGAGCAGGAGGTAAACTGGCGCCACCAACGGACAACTACGTAGGTCGTCTACAGTCATTTACTCTTGAGGTGACTGACAATGAGAGACTCTGATTGTGAGAACAAATTTCCTCTTTTCCTTCCGATGTACGATGTTTTTCAACATTTTTCAGGAGGACCCAGGCATGTGGTTTCTATTTTGCATGCATTTTCATCTATAATTTTCTTACTTTCTCTCGCGAGTTCATTTTTCACTTTTCATGGACTCGACAGTTTCTTTTCATTTTCAATTTGTTTGTAATTTTTTGTGCCATCTGAACGTATCTTAACGTTCGTAATGCAACGTCTGAGTTTCCCGGACTAATGCATGTTATTAATAAAGTTTCAGTTGAATTCTGTAAATAGTTAGTTAATTTAGAATCTCTGTAAGAGATATGATACACACGAGAAGAGCTAATTAACGAAGAACTGGCTCCGACAGGTACAGCCATCTGACGACGATTCCCTGCAAACACGATCGCATCGGGTATAGGCTCCCCACTCTCAATCCTTGTTGCAGTCGCCAAAGCGCGGGCTAAGGTTCAAGTTGCATCGTAGATGCGAACGGACGCACATCGTTTTCGGTTCGTGGTCATGACTTACGTTTCGTGAATCACGGAAATTCGATCGAGTTGTGTCAATTGTGATTCGTTGGCGTGCATTCTACAATCTGGAATTGGGTACGTTTTTCAATTTGTTTTTTTGTATCGAACCCTGACATTTGATCGCGCGAAAATGTTGATACCGACGAGTGCAGCGACACTCGGTTCGAGTTAACGTCATCCCCCCGCTCCCCGCCTCTCCCACGCAACAATTTTCCTCGCGATTTCGTACAGCGACACGGCGGATATCGTTTCTTCCAAAGGTTTTTCGTTGTATTTAACTAATAAAACTTGTGTGACACGGTTCGATACTTTTTAAGTCGCGCTTGAAACTAATTGTGAAAGTCGGAGGCGAATCGCATCCGGGCTTGCGTGGTTGCTGCAATGGAGAGTGAATCAAGTAATTCGGATCAACGTGTCAACTTTTCTTCGCGTCAACGGAAATTAGCGTAACGACGTGTAAGGGCCGCACCTTATCGATGCAATCGTCTATTTAGAGAGTGACGTGTAGGGAACGTTAGAGAGAAGAGAAGAAGAATACGTTGAGCGATTAAAGAGATAGAAATGTACAATCTTACAATCGAATTCTTTCAGGACAGATCGTGTTAGATTGTTATTTAGCGAAATTCTCAAGAAGAACAAGTAAGTTTCGCAAACGTAGCAAAAAAACTGTTGTATATCGTGGCGGCGATTGTCTTTGGCATGAAATCATAAATTGAGGCGTTATTCGTTGATAGTGGTAGTGGTGTGGTGTGGTGTGGTGTGGTGTGGTGTGGTGTGGTGTGGTTGGTTAGTCGGGTCGCGAAAGTCACGTATCCGACGTTAGCTCGCCTTGTACGCGTACACGCGGCTACCCGTTAAAAAGGATTAATATAAACGATTACGTTATCAAACGGTCGGGACAAGAAAGGTACATATTACGAATTACGAATTACGACATAGTGTCGTCGAGAAGTTGTATCCGCTCGCGTCATCTTCCGTCGCGTGTCGGCCAAATTGTTGTAACGACGAAAAGTTGAGCGAAAGTTTAAGAGGACGCGTTAGCCAGAGTTAGGACTCCGATAGCCTAATTTAATAAAACAGTTTCTCGCGTATTGTCACGTGAAATTGTATCAAGATCTCGTCTCCGTATCCGTGGTTGGAGTTGCACAATAGGATGACGAGTACGGTAGAAAAGAGCGAGGGAAAGGGAAGAAATAGAAAAAACGTGAAACGAGTGGCTTTTCGGCCGGCGCATTTTTCACTCTCGCATTTTTCCACCCTAACGAGATTTCAACGAGCACTTTAGGCTGTCGTGGAAATCCTTTGAATGGGGCGCGGGCTGTGCGTATTGTTCGGCAACGTCTTGTTGCGTCTTCGCGCTTGTGTTTCGCGACCGTGGATTTCACTCGTTTCCCGTTATTTCTTTCTTGCTTTTGAAATTTTCTTCGATTCACGCTCGACGATTCGAGATCGCGTTTCGCATAGAGTTACGCCGAGAAAATTTGCTTTTTAAAATTTATTATTCAAACGATGAAGAGAGCAAGGCTTTCGGGTAATCCGGACCCGATTAATATTTCAGGCGGTACAAACATTTTTGAAACGTTACATTGCGAGGCGATTTGTTGTTTGCGCGATTAAAAATGTATGGTGCGACACATGGAATAAATGGCTATAGAACGGAGAAGAATATCGCATCGTAACAGACAGCTCTCGTAGGTAACAAGGATTAATCGATGAAATCTGAACGCATTTCAACGAAACTAACATGCTAGGGTAAAAAATGCCCCCTACCGTATTCATAATCGATGATGATACTCCGAGAGTCGATCCAGTGGCAGGATCGACCATATGGGTCAGGACTCTCTGGAACATCTGTGTTGACGCAACAATGGTTTCGGCCAGTGGGCCACGAGTGTTCTCCGCATACTTGACTTTTGTAGCACAGTTACCGGTTGGCTATCTCTCTTTGGAATCTCGTCTCACGATGGGTGGCTTTCGTCGTCCGCGTTGGTTCATCGAGCTGGATCGACGTCCATTGGTACACGAGTTCTATTCAGATCCAACGAATGTTTAATTCAAGCATCGTCTAGGCCTCTCGCATGGAGAACGAGGGTAATCGAAACGTTAATTTAATTTCGCGGTAATTAATGAAGACACTCGTTGGTTGATTCGTTCGTTCGTTCGTTCGTTCTTTCTTTCTTTCTTTCTCTCACTCTGAAAAGTTGAGTTCGAGCACCGTCTCGGGGGAGCAAGAGCCGCTGTGCAAACGTCTAAGCGACCTCGTCGCAGCTTGTATCTTTCTTTCTGGTCGATTCTTGGATTAATTTCAATTTAAATAGCGTATCCGCGGCACTCGTAGACGATACCTATGAAAAATCCTTCCTCTTCTTTATTTAAAAGACGTCAACTTTATTTTCCGTACAAACAAAATTCTATCGCTGTCGAGTATTTCCTATCACTTATCCATTATCACTTGTCCATTTCTCGTATATTCCTCTATTAGTCGTTTTACTGATCCTTCGTTTTCGTAGATTTGCCGAGATGGCCAGGAGAACCCTTTCCCTCGAGGTTCGTTTCAATTCTATGCATCACGAAATCACTGTGCTGGAACGGAGCGATTTGCTAGATTAAGGGAACGTTAAGTGCTTAGGGTACCACTTGACATGTACCGGTGCAGATCGCAATAGTACTTTGCATATCCTGTTTCGTCGAATAAACAGTGTTTACGGTGACAACGAGACGACGCGACGCGACGCGACATACTCTTTTTTTTTTCAATGTATACGAGACGCGCGCGTATTACTACCTAGGTTTATGTAGGTAGGTAAGTACGTAGTTGTAAAGCATTCGAGCACGGTAGAATTTACGAAAACGGAATCTGTGCGGACACTAACAAAGTAACGTTATCCTTCCCCGCATCTAGGCGCACGATATCGATGCGTACCGTGCGGTACGTTAAATCCAGCTCGAGGAGGCGACCGATAAAGGAACTGCAGCATCTCGATAGAATTTATCGTGGTTCAGCCGAGAGTGGGCAGGGAGGAGGAAAATTCCATTTTAGCCAAGAACGCGGCGCAATTCCATCGCATACCTGATTACAATTTCTGCCAAGTTGCTGGTTATGAACGTCGCGTCGCACAGCTTGCAATTTCGGTGTGCGCAAAGTTAGGAGGAACTGGCTGGCTTAGACTTTGGTTTTCGGTGACGTTTTGCGACGCAACGCTGCAGTTTGTTTTCCGGTAAATGGTGAGAATTAAGATGACCGAAATTTAATTTTCCGTCCCCATCAGATTCCCTTCTCGCCTCGGGTCGAAAAAGATGTCGAGGCTATCGAAGATACAGCCTGGAACGGAAAGTATGCGATGCGTTCCGAATCTCTCGATCTTATCATTAGTCTCGGCCGTGCATAAGTTAAGGAATTCCGCGTATAATCTAATGCAGCGGATGCTAATTGTGTAGAGTGGCTGGATACTGTAGGTGCGAATGGGTTGCGGTAGTCGCATCGATCGCCAAGGAACCGCCGATATTCGTGGGTCTGGAGGCAAACTTGAATCCCTGTTTCATATGGATCCGATAGAATGGCAGCTTTACGGTGGTTTTGAAACTTTGCTGCGTGACACTTTAATTTGCGCGCGCAAATATGCTTTTATACAAAGTTACATAGGCGAGTCCGTTGGTTCATCAATTGATGAAAAATGAACAGGATCGTGAAATTTTACGCCTCGAGAAACTAAGAACAATGCATCCCCTCCGCGATACGCGCAACTCGAACAAGTTCCCTGAAACGCATGTACGTAGAACTGTTAATAAAACTGTTGGAAAATGTCCAAGGTAGTTTGGACAACGACAATGCTAAATTTCCCGATTACAAGTTCTCACGGTTCCTCGATCTAACCCTGCGCTCTCGTCGTTAACGAACGCCCGAGTGGAATAAAACGGCGCAAAGCGTGGCAAATCAATTCCGTCCGCGCTTCAACTTCCACTGTCAGACGTACAAACTACAGCTCCGGCAACCCTAGTCGCCGCCGCTGGTTACATTATTCAAAAGTATCGGCGCATTTCAGGCTGCTATGCAAGGGGCTTGAATTATTCACGATTTATTAGCCTTAGGAGAGCCTTACTCCCTCGCG